TATCATTTGTAGATACTAATGTAGTTATAACTGTGTAATCCTTGCTTATACACTTAAAACTAAGTAAAAATACAAATGTATGCAGTGACTGACAACATGCTTATTACAATTTTGAACCAGAACTATCATAAAGGAGTATTTTTGAACCTAATAAGCTACAGACTTCAGTTTAAATATAACATTGTTTTTCTTTATACATTCATATGTGGAATCACAGGTTTCTCAGAACACAGGTTGTCACTACTGTCTGAGATTGTGGTGTCTGTCATGATGGAGATGGATTAGATGATAGACATGTATTAATTATACAGAATTATTTTATTGCTATATGCCCCAGACTTTCAGCAATAAAATCACCATTATGCACTGATGATAAAATGTTGTAGGTTCATACTTCAGTCCTTGTGAAACTGCACATTATCACACGAGGTATTGATAGTGGACACCCTGGCATCTGTGTATAACTGGATGTGATGCTCCAAATTGGCAGTTACATGGCCTCAGGAATGACTGCAGACTCTTGGTGAATGTTTTCTTTGAACCTCTCAATGATGCAAAGCTTGTTCATGTAGACCTTTACCTTCAGTAGGTCCCACAGGAAAAAGATATGGAAATCCTGTTAGCCAGAAATTTTTTGAGATAGCCCAATTTCCAAAAAGTCTGGAGCACTTTGTCCAGTTATGCATGGACTTGAAGGTTATCCACATTCAGCACTTCACATGATGGACTGCCATTTCACAAGGACTGAGGTATGTACATACTTTTGATCACCTTCAGTACATGATTAGTGGTTTTATTGTTGAAAGTCTGGGATCTTTAGTGACACCTTATGTGGTAGCAGTAAAGGTGGTCATAGTAATAAGTAGTGATGATAACAGAATAGCATCATTCACCAAGATTTGTGGTGGGCAAAGTGGCAGTCTAACCCCATTGGAAAAAAGTTTTATAAATATTAATATACTTTATATATTTATATGTATATTTTTGCTTGAACACTATTTTCAAAGTTTGTATGCATATAATGGTGGCAAAAACAATAATAATAATAATTTGTAACAATTATAATTATTAAAGACAACTGATTTCTTTGTTTAAATATAATGTTACAGCAAATGAATGTACTATATAGGTACATAATAAATGGCAGGGCAGCTGATTCAATATGTCGTCGTCCGTGCAGACTTGTTGAAAACTCTTAACTGGCCTGTGGGATCAGTGATCGCTCAGGCTTGCCATGCATGCTGTGCAGTCACTTACCTCTACCATAATGATCCTCACACACAGGAGTATCTGAAGGACCTTGATAATATGCACAAAGTTGTGCTGGAGGCAAGTATTTTTTTACAAAATGGTTGTCTTGTTCAATTTCACTTTTATAAATGGTATAGAACATTCCTGTTTAACCAGTTTTATTAACATTACGCTGCATTGGAAATAATAAAAGTCTACTGTTTTCTGTACTCAAGGGTTGAAAATCATACAATATCTAGTTACAAGCATGTACCCACAAACATTAAATATAAAAGGACAAAAGGTGATTTCACTTTAGTATTAAAGTTCTGAAAATATGTATTAAAAGTTTTGTAATGCTTATTATGTAACCTTTATGGCATTGTTTGGATATTGTTTCATCTGACATTACTATTTTTAAAAAGTTTACTTAAATTTTGCATTTTGATGTGTTTTCAAAGCTGATAATTTACAAAAGAAGAATTTTTCAGTTACCTGTACTGCCCAGCATCCAAGTCAATATGTCATTGTTTTTAGGGAGAGGGAGAGCAGGCAGGACACATTGACAAGGACCTGCCATTTTTATTGTGTTCCTAGGCATAACCACCATGGATGTGGGCTTAACTGGATTAGGCTAAATGTGACTCATCCATCCTCTTTTCAAAGAAGATATTTATTCACTTCTGGTTTACTAGGCATTACTGAAAGCTGGACTAGAGAGATTTATAGTTTGAAATGAAGCATTTGATGATATCATTAACAAAACAATTACAGTTTCATTTTTATTTTGACAGGTTCCAGATGAATCAAGTTTATGTAATTTAGAATTAAAACTGAAAGAACACCATGTCTTACATAAAATGTGGATAGAACAGCCAGAAAACTTTCCCACCTGTATTGTAGTGAAGCCTTATCCAAAGGAAGAGGTGCAAAAGTACTTCAAGAAATTGAAACTGTTCAAAGGTTAATTCACATTATTCAAGTTCATTTAAATCTGTTACAATACATTCTCATGAAAGTAATTCATGTATGTTTCAAGGACAATAAAATGCCCACTAGTTTGTATTTAATTTTCTATGGATGTCTTCTTTGAATTTGAGTTTCATTGTTTTTTTCATAAGTATTGTAATGTGATTATTTAAGGTAAATAAATTTTGAAAAATGTTACATTCTTCTTACCTCTTGAGTCATCTAATGTATGTTTTTGTAATGTGGCATAACTGTCACTCATTCCTGGAGCCTCCTACAGTCTGTGCTGAATCTTAGCATACATCATCAGTGAAGGACAGGATAAAAAAATTCTTGTTGCTATAAGCAACAAAATCATACCTACTTATATTTTATAGAATTTTCATTCCATTAATGCAATACCAAATCTCACTTAATGAGTACTATATGAAGAATGTCAAAATTTATTGTCCTTCCATGTAGCACTAAATGAAAGTGTGCACCATATCCTTGATGACAGGCTGCTTTCTTTCCTTCAGAATGTGAAAGATACGCTTACATGACTTGCTCAGGGAAAAAGCTACCTTATCTGTTGATATTGCATTGCAGCTCAATCTCTGTAAATTGGTCCGATATGTTCTACTGAAATAACCTAAAAAACAATACACATAATGAAAAGTAGACTGAACAAATACAAAAACTAAACAATTTTAAGAAAACGAGAATTCCCAAGGTCCACTATCTAAAGTTCACAGAAGAGAGATTTGAATGACATGATTCCAATACATTTAATGAATCACTAGGAAGATGGAAGAACCAGTAGCTCATTAGGACTACATGAACACAATTTTAGATTCTTGTTTCCACAATACACAAAAACTGCACATCTGCCAACAATTTTAACTTGCATTTGCATCTACAAAAGTTTATGCACACAAACTGCTAACAAATTTTTGGTGGAAAATAAAACCATATGAATCTTTCTAATTAACTATGAAGTTTTGCATTACAGTTATTGATTTATTGAGACACATGGCATATTAGGTATACTTCAGAGTAAAGTATCATGGGTGTTTGTGTCACAAAATACCAAGACTACTACTCTGGTACACATGTATTACGATAAAAGCAGTCATCAAAACTAATCAGAATATTTGTCAGTTGTTTATTTTATGTACATGTGACTTATTGATATCTTTATACAACTCCATATGCATCATGAGCAAGTAAAATTTAACTTAATTCTTGCTTCCAGCACAAACCAACTTTTGATTTGAGAATGAGATACATAGCTAGACAAGTATTACCAGTGAATCTGGTGTTGATAATTTGTATAATTCATTAAACGTTTATGGTATTATCAGCATTTATACCCTGAAACGGTGAAACATTTACATATGTTTACAGTGTGTATAAATCAAGAAGAAAATATTAAAATATTTCATTGTCATATATATTAAAATAAAATGAACTAAACTATTTTAACACTATACAGATTGAAAAATAATATTTAAACCAATCAATATGTACATATGCACAAAAAAAGTATTGTTAAGAGAAAATATTAATTGTAGATATCTCCTGAGCAAACAAAATATCAATTATATAATTGTTTTACAATATAAATTCTTTAATACTTGTCTAGTATAATTGGCTTCTATGAAATACACCTACATAGCTAAGCAGTGACTAATTATCTGAAGCTATTTCCTGGCCAGCAGACAAAAAGCTTTATAATATGGCAGAAGTCATCTGCATTTCATATAGCATTTGTACATATATCTTTCCGTTTCATAAAAGTGTGATCAATATGAGATACTTAACAATGCAAATATAAATACAACTTAGGGCACTGTGAAGTATATATTGAAAGAATAAACATGAGCAAAATCCTATGTCCCATATTTACATAGACACACTGCACACACCTCACTTAACAGCGCGGTTTGTCATGAACATGCTTCAATTAGCAAACTTCCTGCTGCAGTTAACACAAGATATTTTAATATTATCACACAAAATAATCATGCACTTTTATATTACATTATAGATTTGCAAATCCACAGTTCACTCCAAGCTTCATGCCTATTTTAACTTTCTGACTACTGAGTATTTAAACATACTAACACTGACTACCAGAACCACACAGACCACTCCTTCTGTTTGTTTAAAGATACAGATTATGGAATCTATTAGTGGATACATAAACAATGCCAGACAAAAGGGGGTGGGGTGCACCAATTGATACGTCTGAATTAGATAACTTGTTGCAATCCAAGCTAGACTAGGATTTCCAAGGTATGGCAGTCAGAAAGTTAACATCAGTACTATGAAATAACAGGACAGTTTGCTATACAACTGTAATTCAGACTTACCTTATATTTAGTCCATAACATCCAATAAAAATGTTATCACTACCAACAAATATATAAAATGAACATTAACAGTTATCAGATTGATAGATCATTTTAATCACATGTATTTGTCTGGAATGGCTCTTGAACTTAATCCAGATATCTACAAAAATATTCATTTAGATTCAGAGTGGAAATAGGGCTCAATGCGATGTATCACTTAACATAGGATTTCCTTTTCCAGCAACAATTTTTCCATAAATTTTTTGACTGGTAATCTTGGCAAAATCTAGGCTTTATACCATTACTCATAGAATTACAATTTTTGACAAAATGCAACCTAGGAGCAAATGTGTCTGTGGCAAGACGTCTCCAATATTATCTAATGAAGATATGAAGAAGGGAATATTTTTTCAAATACTATTTTTGAATAATCAAATCACAACATATCTTAAATTATTAAGCAAAAATAAGCTTATTTCTCTAAATGTAACAGTAGTGAAAAAGGCAAAGGGCAGGAAATTATGATTACTTTCTTGCTAGGTCTGATTCTCCCTATTTATCACATTCAACACTGTTTCAAACTTGTGAGTAGCATAGTGTAATACATTATGAAATAACATATCTTCCATGATATACATGTATTCTAATAATAATCATTAATAGACTGGAGCTTAGCAAATATATTCATAACACACTATGAGAATTGGGATAAATCAAATGGAAATGGTGAATTATTATGATCATGAGTCTAATGATTTTGAGGACACTCATAACGTATGGGCAAGACATATGGCCCATTCAAGATGACAGTATATGCACAATCAGAACTTAAAGTAGACGAGAATATGGATTTCTCGCAACTGCATTATTCATATTCAATAAATATAAGATACTTGAATGTATACTATGCATATAAGGATCAATCATGCTGAAAATGAAAGACTTTGTAAGTTGAACAGCCACCTGCTAGTGATGAATGCCATGGACAATCTAGGAGGCTGACTCAATTAACTATGGTTTACATTTTCAATGAGACTGTACCTATGTCATAAATGTATGTACATGAAAGGATGCAACTTTGAAAGGAACAAATACATAGCATCCAAGAGAGAAGAATTATGTTTACGTTTGCCATCTCCATGACAGAACTATCATACTAGAAGAGTAAGGAAATAAACTTCCATGTAGGAATAGACTCTTATGTTTTTAATTTTCAACTTTGGTATTTGGTTCATCAGAAAAAATAGAGACCCTTATAATGAGTTCTATAAACTTTCTAAACAAAGTACTAATAATTATATACAGGATTCCAGGAATATGCTTGTCTACCCACCACAAGTGAGTAAATAGACAATAGTAATGAGTGTATTTTCATCTTTTGTCTAAATGTATGAACAGACTATTGGTAAGTGGGTAGTAGATCTAAGAGAACTACATATAGGGATCCACACTTTTGGAGTAGGTTTATATGGAAGATATTTATATAAAAATTATATGACTCTCTAAATTTATAGTGGCAAACTTTATAGCAAAGGGACTCAAGACTTCCTTTGTAAAAATGTGGTCTCTTGTCATGAAGGGATTTGTAAAATTATCAGTTTTACTATCAAGAACTCCAAATATGTCTGTGACTAGTCAAATGAAGGAACAGGTCATAAAAAAATCAGAACCACAATATAAACTATGTTGCCTAACCTATATTAGGATTACCCTAGACTGGGTCATAACCAAACAGAGAATCAACTTAGATTTCATTAACTATATTTCTGCAGAATGTCATAGCAAGATGCCAGTGAACTGAGTCCAGACAGCAACATTAGATATTAAATGCTTATGTCACAATAATAATAAAGTTAAAAAACAATAATGTACAAATCAAATGATAAACATACAAGCTAGTGCATGCTATGGAAAACACTAAATGAAGTGAATGATCTTAAATCCTTTTATACCGTGTAGCGACTCAATAAAATGTATATATCCAACGACTATTAGCACTGAGCAGTACTATATTATAGACCAAACCGCATTTGGTCTATAATATAGTACTGCTCAACGCTAATAGTTGTTGGATATATAATTTTTATTGAACTGAATTAGTTTTCTCAAGACCAATGTCTCTCATAAAAGATAGTTTCAAAATGAGATATGGGGTATTTGTATTTTCTCAGAATCCAGTGACCGTTGACCTGCTTCATATGCATTGCACTAGAATATATAGACTATAATTATGAATGAATAAAATATAAGTCACTGGTGATTTTGCAAATTATAACTAATTTCATTTCAAGATATTTTATTTTTATGTCTGAATCATGTGTGAAACATATTGCATTTTTTTACTACTGATTCCACTGAACATTCAATTACACATCCACCTCACAGTAAATTATATTATGTAACGGGCATAAAATTCATACTAATTGCTGTGTGATTCAACAGTACCTGCACAGTTCCACTGCTGTGACACTGCCTATTGTCAGTGACCAGCCAGTTAAGTCAGCATTCACATGATGAAGAAGGTAAGTTTTATCAAAAGGTACTAATCTTTGTGTGTAATTGTGACTGATCAAAACATTCAAAAAGTGAAACATTAATTAAAATAAATTAAAGTATGTAACAGAGAGCATAAAAGTCATCTCAGACAGTAATTACATTATAAATAACAGTTTGCTGAACAATAATGTCACACTAGTTCAGTGATTGCAAAAAGGCAAGTGAAATATAATCATGTAATCCCTCATTAGCATTCTTGGTTCTCCAAGACAACGCTGAAACTTCAGAAAACTAGTATACCGACAATGTATTCAAACCTACTGCAATAGTGTACAGGAAGATACAAACAGAAACAGAGGGACAAAAAAATGACACAATGGTTCATCAACCAAATAAGCCATCACCATTTACAATTTATACCAAACACCAGATATGAAAGTGGCTTGGGTGTTGTCAACACAATTGTCACATTATACTTTGGGTACCATGAGGTTTATATTAAGGTGAGACTACACTGCGGTCCCTTTAAAATTACCATATCAGTTATCAAATCGTGGACTCCAAGATGGACCTACATTACACTGAGTTGCCAGAGTACTTTGTACATGACTACCTCCAAGCAGTATTAAAGAGTGAAAAAAGGGTACAATTAATGAACTTTTGGCTTCATCTATGAATAACATCACAATAGTGTCAAACATCATACTAGCTAGTGGTTACTGTATATAGATAAACCTCCAACGATGTCAAAAACCATCTTAAGTAATGGTTATCAATGAGAACTGATAAGGCTGCAATAGTGTCAGTGTGTTATTGTGAGTGAATATGGGCCAATTTCCCGTAGAACAATGTATATTTTTGTAGGGATCATGTGTACAGTAACTGTAAAGTAACATAAGCATTGTCTGAACCAGCAGAAAAACACATTATGCTAGACAGTTATGAGTACAACTTATTTCTTTTTATGACAATCCACCCCAAGATAAGAAGAGTACACTAAACAAAACAATGACAAAATATATTCATTTATATCAATATAAAATACAAATTTTATACTGTATTATGCCTGATCAGTCACAGTATGTTCCAAGATGTACTTTTCTGTTACAGACACTGGTAGAAATCAAAGCACAAAATGACAATGTGTACCAACACCTGAAGGTAATTTCAACAAAGATCTACATAAAATGTGAAACTGCAAAATAGACACAGAAAAATGTGCATAACTGAAACTACTATCAAAGAGGAATTTGAGAACTTCCTGAAATTAAAAAAAATTGTAATGACTACCTACCTTTATATATGTAACATACTCTTACATGTAGTATCATTACTATTTTACATTTTTCTTATGGTAGAACAGGACTACATCTGAACTGGAGAGAATGGGGCTAAATACAAATCAAACCTTTTATGAAGGAAAACTTTAAATACAGAAATATTAAACAAAGGTTTCTCAGTAAATAACTGCAAGTCCTACAAGGATTATTTCCATCAAATAACGTGTATGTAACAGACAACTGATAACCATTAAAAATAAACCAATTTTTCTTCTTTCACACCAAACTAAATTCATCTTGGTGTCATTGCAAAAGACTGTTTTGAAAGAGGAAAGGTTTTTCATAAATCTACTTCTAGTAAGCACATGAAACAAGTCATATCATAATACTGACAGTGAACTTCAGCATAATTCCATATTTGTATTTGTAAAATATGCTCGAGGATTTGCAAATTTATTGTGTATAAGGAACATGTGTACTTCTTCAGTTTTTAAAGAGAAAGATCTGCATAATTCTTGGAATGTAAATGTGTGATTTTAATATAAACAAAACACAGGGACCATCTATGGGATATGTTTTGTAACCAATTTTGAAATTGAAGGGCCTGCAAAATTCTCAGAATGCAAATGTGTGATTTAATACTAACCAAACATGGGTGCATCTACAAGACATTTGTACTTCATTAATTTTAAATGGAAAGGTGTGCAAACTTCTGAAATGTAAATGTGTGATTTTAACATAAACAAGACATACAGAAGCATAAATTTACCCTTTAAACCCAAATGGTAACTACATGTCCCACCTGCTTCAACAATCAGTAACACTTCATTTTGTATTTATGGGTCCATATGATCCTCAGCATAAACAGTGATTTCCTTAAACACCATTAATCAGTTGATCTCTGAATGATGAAGAGCTGTGCTTTCTTTGCAGTCAGACTGAATTCTTATATATTATTTAAATAAGCTTCAGATTCAAAGGGTTAAATGCTGGAATTAATTACAGGACAACATACAGATCCTGTAAGTGTACTGGATATCACTGAGGTGCCTGCTAGTGTAAATATTAAACTATGAATTGAAAAGAAGCCATTAAATTGTTTTCTATGATGATATAAATCTGAATCAATTAAGTTTAATCATGGAGAAGTCATTTAAATCTCCCTACTGTCCATGGATTATTGATTTTCAACAAATGACTAGTTCACTTACACATCATTAGATGAGGACCCAGTACTCCTACTGGTCGGTCCCTTCTCACTAGGTATCACCCAATTTCTTTACTGCAATGATTCTCTAAAGATCTGTGACAATGTACTGCAACATAAACATTAAGTTGGACACTGTCCACTGTCAGGAATATTTGATATACAGATTTTAGAATTTGGCTCTAACCCCATCTTTAGAGACTGTTTGTCATTACATTGACTAGCAGGTCTGATTCTTACAATCACCATTATGAAACATGTCAGCAAAATGACAACCAATCACCTAGAGATGAGTATAACCAACTATTAAAATGTGGTGTATATCAACTATGGGTACCTTCAACATAATAATAATGGCATAACCTTTTACTGTAAGCTATACCGAGATTAGTGGTCTCTGTTCTCAACTGAAAGATCTAAAGTAGCAAAAGTAAAACACATAATAACACTTTCAATAGACAATAATATAACTCTTGTGCATTGTAACTTTTACAAACATCTTGTACTCTCAAGACATGGACATGCAACAATAAAAATATTGCTTTCTGTACAGTAATAAAAAAAAAAGTCTACATAATGATGTCTGAATATTCACTGTGACAGATTTTCCAATAAGCAGAGGCAGTTCGATTTCTATAACATAATAAGTTGTACATTCCTTAAATGACGCAAAGTCTCTCTCCACTGTTAGGTTCAGTACTTTGTTATTAAAGTCACTACTTCAATAAGAACTTTTAACTACACATACAAATGCAAGTCTATTTATTTCTAATTTTTAACTAACTCTGCTTTTATCAATCACATGATGTGTAATTCTGAACTACACGTAAGAGACCACTGATGTAGATGTTAATATGCTATAACTAATTTAAAATATAGCAAAATAATTCAATTTTGAAAATATAGAAATCTCCCCAGTTCATATAAAGGTGACTTGTAAGAAACCAGCCAACTAAGAAAGGGAGGACAAACTGCTTCCATAACAGTTGTTCAATCTTTGGAAATACAACTGGAAGAGAATATTACACATCTGGTTCTTGCTTACTTTGATGGACAAGATGTAATTCTCTGCTACACAGAAGACATTCTAATCAGTGAATGAAATTCCACAGCAGGTTCATGACGTGACTAAATTAGTTTTGACTACTGGACCAGTCATGACAGGAAGGTATTGCTACAATGCCTTTTCTGAGTTCAGCTTCTTGATCAAATTTATATTTGCAGAGTAGCCTCAGCTTTGCTTTGTGCAGTTCAATTATTCTGCCACCTGGGCAATAAACTGTTCCAGCTGAAGTTCTAATGAGGCTCTCTCTTCTTGAACATCAGCTAGCTCTTGGTTAAGCTCTTGACAGACTCTGATGAGGAGAGAGTTCTGTTCTTGCAGACGATGTAATGAATTCTGTTCACTATACCTGTAAGGTGGATAAAAAATAATCCTTTGTATAGGTACTGTACAATGAGAGAAATATTTCTTAAGACATCTCTTCCAACAAGTGAAACCAATGTCAGATCAGCTCTGACACTCACTATCCACCGACTCTTCCAGCATCCAAGATATAATTGTAAACCCTCTTGTGGCTGTCAACAGAGCAAAATTGAGGATAACTTTCTGATCTTGGTATCTAAGCATATAAATTTAAAATGAGAACAGATACAGTGAAATGTTAATAAAATGAATGCTGAATTAGCAATAATTTAAAACTCACAAAACATGCACTCCTTCCTGATAGCACAAGTCTGCATCTGTTAAGAATGAAAAGTAGGCCAAGAAATTGTAATTTCAGTACTGTTCTGTATTTGCTATTTGTTTCAATTGAAATATTTAATGTAAAAGAATCTTCGATTTTAAGTTACTTAAAAACATGACATTCTTTCCTTACCTTCCTTCACAGCGATGTCTATGCTGCTGTAATTCTTCTGTGGGGCTATCCAGATCCTGCATTCCTACATTGACATCTGGCACACCAGCGGCTAATACAATGAAAAACACGAACTGTTACTGTACTGAACACACTTTCACTTACAAAATATAATTGTGTATATTAAGATACTGTAGCCCTCGTGAGACAAACTTATATCTGCAAGAAAACTAATGTGAGTTGAAAGAGTTTCCAACATTTCACTTAGGATCTAGCTACTACACAGCATGCGAACGTCATTATCTCAATTTAAGGAATTATAAGATTTTCTGGCCTCTGGGCACCTAAAATGGTTTTTGTACAAAATTAAAATACAATGGTAAAATCACAGAAAAGCTTAAAACAACAGTTCTCAATATACATGCATAGTATTTGTGACTTCAATAATGTGTAGCAAATGTCTGTACTAAAGTATTTACCCAATTTTACCTCATAATCGGTATTTATTACTAGTCTGTTACAATGACAATGATATTAACTTCAATTACAGTAGGGCACCGCTTATACGGCGGGTTAGGGACCAGACCCCCGCCGTAAAGCGAAAAACGCCGAAAAGCGGATCTTTGCCTTATTTCACTTGCAAATGCATATCAAAGCCTAATAAGATGTTACACTATCATATAGTAAGTGCACAATAGCGCTAGGCCTAAGAAAATGATATGAAAGTTAAATGAATATCAGTAATACACACATTGTCCTCAGCTTATAGTGATTGGTGAATATAAATTTGAAAATTGATATGCTTATAGTAGGAAGGATGAAGGAGATGGCGCATCTTCATCATGTGACTCTTCAACGAATCCTATTCGTTTTGGTGATGGTTCGGAAGCCATAGACATGCCTTGTTCACGAAGTTTAATCATCTCTAACTTGGTATTTAAAGTAAGAGGCTTACGACTCCTCTTTTTATCGCTACTACCCTTAGACGCCATTGTAATTACACTGTAGTATCACAAAAATATTATATAAATATACAGTTTGTAATAACTGAAAAATTGCCAGAAATACAGAGAGACGCGGAGCGCACAAAAGCTGTAAACAGACTCAATCAGCGACGAGAAAATGGCGCCGGACACACTTCTCTGACTCAGCTGTTGAGCGCCGTATTAGCGGATCGCCATAAAGCGGAGCGCCGAAAAGCGGAGCCCTACTGTACAGTAATTTGGCAGGTAATACCCACAAAAAAGACTGGATGATAAAAAAATTATTTCCAATTACACGCATCAATGGAAATAAAGCTACAAAAGAAGCCAAACTATTTGATTCAAGTTCACACTTTTTGGTCCCAAGCATTCTGAATTAACATGATTACCGAACTAAAGCTTCAAAGGATTTTTAAGTATTATCAATTAACATTTTTAACCACAGCTGTTCAGGAGATAAAGCACACAATAATAAGACTGACTAAAACCTGTGGCACTGCACATAATTTCAATCACCAATGTAGTAAACAAACATAGCCTACAAATTTTCCATACATTTGTAGAAGGACATTAACATTTAACAATTTGTAAAGTTACTATGATTCCCCAGAATTAAAATATTTTACATAGCTGTTAAGTTGCTACTTTATCAAAATACTACCTTAATAAACACAGAATATTTCTGAAAATACATCACAATACAAAACCTCAAGACTTGACACCAAATGGTGCTAGTGGTATTCCCATTTCACATTTGCCATTTTGGTTCTGAAGAACATATATTACATAAAGTTCTCTTACTAGATACAGGTTTCCTGTAAACCTCAAAGGCACCATGTCTTCTGGGTTGGCCACCATCCACACAACTTTCCTCTTCATGGACAAATTGAGCAAAGTCCGCAAAGCCTGTACGATCTCCCACTAATGACAGCACATCACCCTCACTATACTGTCCGATCAGCTTTTTTGGTGAGGTCTGAAACAAAGCAGTTTCCAGCCTAGACTGCAGTCTTTTGGTTTTTATAACATGTAGTCTTACATGTCATTACGACTGCTATGGGAAAATTATTGCATCCATCTTCAGTGCATATAAAATAGGTCCTCCAAAATGCTGGTAAACACCTACAAGACTACTCAAAATAACTCACATAAAAATACAAACTTCACTCTCACGAAAATCTAAAATTTCAGTTTCCAACTTGTTAATGTAACAATTTAAAAAAGTGCTTGATGGCAAACCATTTTAGCTCTGTTATCTCTGAACTTAGGAGGCAGGTTAATGGATTTCATTAAAATGCTGTTATAACATCAATTACTAGGCACTAAACTAATTAAGACAGTAAAATAGAAAGAACTGGAAATAAATGCAGTTGCAGCATACATCAATGCACTATCCAGTATTCACTCAACAATAAGAAAAACTATGCATATACTTCACTACACTCAGCCAAACAAACGATATTGCAGAGAAGTTAGTTCTATATCATACTACAATTTTTTTTACACATTTATATAATTTGTAACATTTGTACACAGAAATGTAGATATATTTCACTGTAGATCCACAACATTGCCACTGTGCTACATGGCATATAAAAATTACAGTCTTCTATGTTGAAAACTTGAAGAGATAGTGAGCCAGACATGTCAAGAAACATATTTTTTATAAAAGGTTCTGAAAGTTTGTATTTTGGCAAGCTGTCAGCACAGACAGTGTACCAGCTTCAAGAGTTAAACTACAATTCACAACAAAAAGAACAGGATGAGTATATTGGCAATACAAATAACAAATTTATTTTATAAGTTATGGAATATTTCTATCCACATCCATGATAAGCAGCTTATCAGTGGCCAAGCCTCAATAATGTAACTCAAGACTTTGATTGTTCAAATGTGTGATGAAATTAGGAAGGATATGTGTCATCACTACAGAATGGTGGTCCTATTGAGCATGTAATCCATAAAGGATAAATCTCCATAAATTGTTTTTTGTGTTCACAAATATATACTTACCATTATATGAACATTAAAACTTTTATTTAAACTTTCAATTGGGTACCATTTCATGCACCAGTGACACATAAATGGATGTATCACTACAACAGAAATATGAAATATACATAACTGTATAAGAACACTTGGATTATAAACCAAGCAAATGCTTGGTATGATTAGTAAGTTAAAGCAATACACATACCAGATACTCTGATGGAGAGGAAATACAGAATAATTAACTTGATTACAATATAAATACCACACAATATAACTCACATTGCTAGGAGAGATTCTAGGTGGAACAACTGGCGGAGCTCCAAGCAGACTTCCAGATTTTCCTAGGTGAGAATTAGAGCATCAAGCATAATGTATTAGAATATGTTAAAAACATTCACAAAAAAGAAAACCAAGACAAGGCCAGTTGCTATCTTATGATACTATGTACTACTCAACAGTGGGCATATTAAATGAACTGGTTAATTCACATTTAACTTTCTTAGGAGGGAAAACCAACCATATTAAGAATGACCCCAAACACATTGCTGATGAATTTGCTACCCATTTTGAATCAATTTTTAACACTTCTTTCCGGTCTGTTAGTCTTACGGATACTGTTACTTCAGATGTTTTGCCCATCGCTCCCATTTCTCATACTGAAGTTAGCAAGGAGATCAAGCGCCTCAGACCTTCAAAGTGTGTGGGGTTAGATGGAATTCCTTCGTTAGTAATTAAGGGTTGTTCTGATATTTTTACTCCTTTATTAACCTATATTTTTAATTTAAGTCTAAATAGTGCCACCTTTCCGTCCCTGTGGAAACAAACTGCTGTTGTTCCCGTGTTTAAAAAAGGAAACAGTTCCACTGTTAGTAATTATAGACCCATTTCTATTCTTAATAACATTTATAAAATATTTGAATTTATTGTTTATGATCAATTGCAAAAAAATTTTTAAGTACAGATTAAGTCCCACACAGCATGGTTTTCGTAAATTTAATTCCACAGCAACCAATTTGGTTACTTACCTTAATTCCGTTTTACCTACAGTGTCTACTCAAGGACAAACTGATTCTGTTTACTTTGATCTTACTAAAGCTTTTGACTTAGTTCCTCATTATATTCTTCTTGGTAAACTTAGAAACTTTGGACTATCACCCAGTTATGTTGATTGGTTCCATAGTTATCTTTCTGACAG